AAATTGTCCGGGACAAGGAGGGGCGATATCTTTTGGTGAAAGGCCACTTGGGAGGAAACCTTATCACTTTTATAATTTATTATACCCCCAATGCCAATCAGGTTGAATTTTTCCAATCTTTGCTAAGCACTCTGGCCGGAGAATTTGAGGGTGACGTTATTCTAGCTGTGACTCTAATTTAGCGTTGGACCAGACTCTGGATCGTTCCCGAACCGCCACGCTTCAGCCTCCTTCTAGACGGAGCCGTAAATTGGCTCAACTCTTATATCGCTATGATTTTATTGATGCGTAGAGGGAGGCTAATCCTACTTCTCGAGACTACTCCCACTACTCCAGGGCTCATAATAGTTAGTTATTCTCGCATTGACCATATTTTTCTTCATACATATTCACTCCCCAAACTTGTTATTGCTAAAATCTTTTCTACGCCCTGGTCTGACCACGACCCAGTTTCTATCACCTTGTCGTCTGAGACTCCTGGTAAGACAGCTTTTCATTGGCGTCTTAATGACTCTATTTTGTGTAATCCTTCTCATTGTCGGGAAATCTCCTCACACCTACAAATATTTTTTGATTTTAATAAAGCAGAGGACACGAACCCGGCGATTAATTGGGCAGCTCATAAGGCCTCAGTCAGGGGATATATTATTCAACTCTCTTCTCGTTTAAAAAAAGCCCGAAATGACCTACTTGCTACTAAAACTCAATTGTATACTGACCTGGTTGCTCAACATAAGCAACATCCCAGTTCTGATTTGTTACTTAAACTGGACCAGGCCCGACTGGAACTTAACTTATGTCTTACTACCACTGCGGACAAACAACTTCGTTGGTCTAATCATAAATTCTTTACTTGGAGGGACAGGCCTGGCACCCTGTTAGCACGCAAGCTGACTCCTAGACATTCCCAGACGGCCCTCCCCAAGCTCAGACTGGACAACGGTTCGTTATCCCAGGACCCGGGTAAGATCCTCCACAAATTCAATTCTTTTTATTCTCAGCTTTATAGTTCGCCCACGGTGGGTTGTTGTTCTTCCTCTCTGGAGGCTTTTTTGGAGTCTATCTCATTTCCCCCCCCCTCCGGGAGGCCCATAGGGAGCTAATGGAACAACCTATCTCCTGTGAAGAAGTTGGGAATGCGGTGAAATCCCTGGCCTCTCATAAGGCCCCGGGACCGGATGGTCTTCCTAATAATTACTATAAAGCTTTCCCGGACATTCTGATACCCCATATGGCAATGTACTTTAATTATTTGCGGGAGGGGGGAGTGGTTCTCCCAGAGGAAAATAAGGCATTCATTAGTGTCATTCCCAAGCCTTTCAAGGATGCCGCTATGGTCTCTAATTACCGGCCTATTTCTTTAATTAACTGTGATTTAAAGATTCTAACTAAAATCCTGGCCCTACAGCTCCATAACTTCTTGGCTTTATACATTCATGATGACCAATCAGGATTCATAAGTGGTCGACAAACATCGGACCAAATTAGGCGGACTATAGCTTTGCTGTCAGCTGTGCAGTCCAATTGGGATGGATCGTCGCAAAGGGAAATTTTACTACTGTCACTGGATATTCAGAAGGCATTCGACAGTCTGTCCTGGGACTATTTGTTTAGAACGTTGGACAGGTTTGGGTTTGGCCCTTATTTTACGACGCTGTTGCGGGCCCTCTATTCTACTCCGTCAGCTCAAGTTTCCATTCGTGGACATAAATCAGTCCCTTTTTCGATAGAACGAGGAACTAGACAGGGATGTCCTCTTTCTCCATTGCTCTTTGCGTTGGCGATGGAACCTCTTGCGATTGCTATTCGCGCTGATTCCACTATATCGGTGTTACCTGTGGTCAAAGGGTTCATAAATGCGCCCTATTTGCCGACGATGTTCTTATGTACATATCTAATCCTCGAACGTCTCTGCCTGGTTTCTTCCATCTGTTTCATCGGTTTTCTGAGGCCTCCGGTCTTACGCTTAACTCATCTAAAACTGTTGCTTTAAATATCTCATTACCCGATTCAGAGGTTCGCTACTGCCGGGAAAACTTTGATTTTCAGTGGGCCCCTGGTTCTCTCCCCTATCTGGGGATTCTCCTTACAAAATCTTTATCGACGCTATACCAGGCCAACTATCTCCCGCTTTTCAAACAACTTAAAAATGACTTATTAGCCTGGCAGGATCTTTCACTTTCCTGGTTCGGTAGAATTAATTCTATTAAAATGACCTTCCTACCTAGATTATTATACTATTTCAGGACGTTACCAATTCTGATTCCCAAACGAGAACTAGTCTTACTACAGGCTGCAGTCTCCAGATTTGTATGGAGGGGAAAGCGCCCTAGGCTGAACAAATCTATCTTATTTTCTTTGAAGAGGCATGGCGGTGTGGGACTCCCTAATCTTTTCGCATACTTTCAGGCGGCCCAAATAGCACAACTATCTTGTACTACGGCCAGGGGATATGTCCCCCAATGGGTTGAGATTGAGGCTCTTTCGTGCCGTCCATATGCTATTGGTACTCTTATGTGGCTTCCCAGTAGATTGCGCCCTCCTATTTTGTGTCCTACTCTATCCTATTCATTGTCAGTGGGGGATAGATGGCGAGCTCGTAAACCTTTCTTCTCTCCGCATACCCCGTTGGCTCCGGTGTTTGGTAATCCTGAGTTTGCCCCGGGTTTATCTTTCGCGAGGTTCCAATGGTGGATTAATAAGGGGTTGCTATGTATTGGGGATTATTTGGATGGGGTTCGCCCTCGGTCTCTTCATTATTTTGTGAATTTTTGTGGGATGCCTCGTGGAGAGATATTTCGTTACCATCAACTTCGCTCTTTTATTGATAGCAAACTTAGACTACTCACAGAACCTTGTGCGCTTACTTCCCTCGAGGTCTCCTGTGGGGCAAGTGGGATGATGCGAGGTCGCTTGTCCATTGTTTATGCTTTGTTGGTTGATCCCCTAACTAAATTATCTTACATGACTCTATGGGAACGGGATTTAAATAGTTCCTTAGATTTGGATACCTGGCAGACTGCGGCCCATGCCCTATCGAAGATTTCGATTACTGATCTTGTTGAATCTAACTACAAAACGCTACTTCGGTGGTATTTGGTTCCTGCTTGCCTAGCCATAATGTATCCTTCCGTTTCATCTGGCTGTTTCCAACGCTGTGGTCAAGAGGGTACCATGTTCCACGTCTGGTGGAAATGTCCAGTCGTGAGTAGGTTCTGGATCCGCATATTTAATTTTCTTTACTCAGTGACAGGAATTAATATCCGTAGATCGCCGGAAGTGGCCTTGTTTAATATACTACCCTCTGATGTTCCCAAAAAATCGATTAAATTAATTTTATATATCATATTGGCAGCTCGCATTACCATAGCTAGGAGTTGGAAACAATCCTTGATCCCGCTGAATAGAGTGAAACAAAAACTCAGCTGGATAATGGTTAATGATAAATTGACAAGTATTGTCACTGATGATGTGTCCAGATCTGAGAGGACTTGGGATCCTTGGATTAATTATATTACTGTATCGTGAGTGTCTGGCAGCTGACCCCCCCCCCCCTTATATATATATATATATATATATTTTTTTTTTTTTTTTTCCTCTCTTTCTTTCACTTGAGAGTACTTTCCTTTTCGTCTCTCTCTTCCTCTCTTTTTCTACTATTTGTTGAAACATTTTTTTTCTCTCTGTTATTTTTGGTTCATTTTGATTCAATTTTTGTTTATTGATCTATGAAACCTGTATGTTTTGATGGCTATGACATTTCTTATGTGAATTGTAATGCTATTGTCTGCTAATCTTTTTATGTACTTACCAGCGTTATGATTTTGATTCTACATCTTGTTCCACCATGCGGGTTGGCCCTTTTTTTTTTTTTCTTTTATTGTTTGCCATCTTGTTTTACACTTTAATATGCTTGTTTCTCAATAAAAATATTGAAATATAAAATGTCTTTTTTGGTATCATTATCAAAACCCTCCACTGGAAGCAATAATTTAAAGGGGTGTCTACATACTCAAAAACAGCATTCATATCTTCCATAGTCATATATACTGTATATTATTATAGGGCAGGGATCTCAAAACTAACTAAAAAAAAAGGGGCCAGTCCTTCAGACTTCACAGGGGCTTGACTGTGACCATTGGGAGTAAACAATGCCTGATCTTTGGCATTAGGGGGAGAAATAGTTGAGTCAGTGGGAGGAATAGTGTTCCGTTTTTGGAATTATACCCCATCGTTAGAATCAGTGGAAGGCATAGTGCCCCACTGTTGGTGTCAGTAGCAGCAATTATGCCCCATTGTTGGTGTCAGTGGCAGGAATAATGCCTCAAGGGCCGGATAAAAGAAAGCAAAGGGCCACATCCTGTTTCAGGGCCGTAGTTTGGAGACCACTGTTATATGGCATGTCTCTCATGAGTATAATCCAGTTTGTCCAAATATGCCACTTGTCTAGAAATTTTGAAAAACACAACTTTTTTCTTACGTTTTGCATAAAGTATGAATGCATTTATATACTCTGGACATTTTTTGGAGCCAGAAATGTATACAGCACTCTACCTACCATTCATTCACATAAGTCCCTGCCTTAAAAGAGTTCACAATCTAAGGTCCTCAGTGGTGCCAGTTTAGAAAGGAGCCAATCAACCTACCAACAGGAAACTGATACAAGCACAGGGAGAGCATGCAAACCTAATGTTAATTGTCCTGGCTGGTATTTGAAAACAGGATGTCAGTGCTATAAGGCGGAAATGCTACGTCAATCTTCCAAAAGAAAAAAAAAAAAAAAACGAATAGAGGATCTATCCAAAACTAAAAGAAAAAATGTTGGTCGGTTAATGGACACTGCATGGCACAAAGTGGAATAAAATATGTCTAGTATTGTTTTGATGATACTCATTCAATCAAATTCACAAAAAAAAAAAAAAAATAATCCTGTTTTCTCTGATCTATTTATCAGTAGGAGTTGGCTGTATTGACTATAAACCATCATGCAGTAAAATTACCTGAGGTGGGATGACACCTCCGCAGATAACCAGAATATCTGGGCGTCCTACGGCACTCAGCTCTTTGATGAGTTCAGGAACAAGAGTTTTATGACCGGCAGCCAGCGTGCTCACTCCCACACAGTGCACATCTGCATCCACGGCTTGCTGAGCAACCTCACGTGGAGTCTATCACAGAAGAAGAAATAAAATAAAAATTCTGATTAACATTCTAAGAAAACTGTACCGGCTCTTCCCTAAAACATGTGTGGACCTCACAGGTGTCCACTAAGCTGCTGACATCTAAAGAATAATCAGATGGCATTAATTATGAGGAAATGGAGGAAATTATAATCTTTTATTAATATACAATGGATGTAAAAATCAAACCTGACCCCATCCCTTTTCCCTCCTCCTAAGGCTTCTTACTGGTCCTTTAATGCAACAGGCCTTCTCATTGACCAATATTGAGGATCAGCAGCTAGGAGGGAAAGGCCAAGACTGATATCTTCAGGAAAAGTCAAAATTTGCACATAACTTCAGTTGCCTATATACCTGGATCTACTGGTGTTGACATATACTGTAGTTTTCACTGAAGTTAACATCTATTTGTTTCTTCATCATATGTTGGATTTCATTTGCCCTGGAGTGACCGGCATACTCTGTAGGCATATGTGCTGCCCTTCGCATTCCTAAGCACAGTCCATATCAGACAACCATTGTATTTTGGCCACATTAAAAGGGAGAAAATAAAAACAATCTAATTACTATTTCCACAAATGAGCCTCCCCACAGACACCAGATTGTTGGCGGTTCCCGCCAGAAATTGCCACAACAGGAGGTTGCTGATATCTACTGAACCGTACAGTGGATCTATAATGGAATTAATTTTTTTTCAGTTAAAAGGTAAATAATTGTATTAGAATATAAATATATCACCCTCACAGAGATCAGAGTACTCTCCTCAATAAGGCCCCTTTCACACCGACGGTCCGATCAAGTCTGCCTGTCAGTTTTTCAGGTGGACCAAAATCGGACCATCCATAGATCTCTATGGAGCAGTGGGTGTCAGCGGACATGTCTCCGCTGACACCCATCGGCATCTGATCCGGTCCTATAGGCTAAAAACAGACGGATGGGGATTCATTCCCCATCCATCCAGCGGATCAGATTGGATGACAGTCAGGTGGAAACGGTCCTTTCCATCCGACAGCCCCATAGAAAACAGTGGGCTGTGTGTGTCTGCTCTGCAGAAGCGGAGCGGACACAGACCTGTCATCTGTTTGCTTAGCGTGGATCAAGGGAGATATCTCCCGCTTAACAAATGGATCCGCTGACGGGTCTGCCCTGTCTGAAAAGGGACCTAATGTCTTCACCTGCTTTTTTCTTCAGTTTGTTCAGATAATACCTACGGTCACCATATATTTCTGGACTGAGATGCTGGCTGAGAGATGCAAGTCTTCTAAAGCCTGTTGGCTGTGAAGTTCATGAAAATATCTAATAAAATCAGTCCCTTCTGCTACCTCTCACCTTGTGACCTACTACAAACTTACAATGCTGCAGTCTGATGATGGGGGTAAAGGAGACTAGGGAAATACTTCCACCTGCCTGCAGCAGACTGATGACATCTTCTAAGCTTAAGCAAAGAACTTGTCTGGAACTTAAAGCGGTACCAAACCCAAAAACAAGAATTATATTGCAGCTTACCAATTCCTAGATGACTTGGCTGCATGACTGTTAACTATAAGGCTTCCCGAGGACTCCTGGGATAGAGGATACTGATATCCTAGGAGTCCATGGGAGTCACCTAATGACGTCATCGCCTAGGTGGCTGGGACCATAAGAGCCAGCTAGATATCTTAACAAAAAAAAAAAAGGTATTTAGAAACACAAAAATATAAACATTTAAGAATTTACAGCAAGGGGGCATTGAGAACAGAGGGAACTCCACTTTAATTTGCTAGTCAAGTCCATCTAACACAGAACTGGGAAAATTGCGGCCCCAGGGCCACATCCAGCCCTTTGGCTTTCCCTGTTCGGTTCTCGATGCCCCTTTGAGCCTGTCAGCTTTAGGTGAAAATAAAACCAAAACAGGCTAAAAATAAAGCTAATGTAGCCACCTCAATTAAGGAGTGGCAATCTGAAATATTACATTTTTGTTTTCATGTTTTTTTTTTTAATGACATTAAGACTTGTTATTCAATGATAAAAAGGTGGAGCTTTCCTTTAAGATTATATTGTTCCTGAGCAGTATATTGTCACGTCAGAAATTCATTTGTACAAATTGGGAAATGTAATGAAAGTTACAAAGTTAGAGATATGGGTTAAGTTGAGGTTTTTAGGTGTGCTAAATTAGTTATTCAGCCCAGCAGCTCCAACCGCTACAGGCTGCCTGCAAAAAACTACAGGAGAGGGCGGAGACAAGACCAGTCACCCAGCACAAGGAGAGAAAGTAGTGACCAGTCTGTATTACAGGAAGCTCCTAAACTGACGCAAAGTTTCAAACTGGATCACTGCACAACTACTACATCACTACATTAAAGTCCAGCTCTAAGATTAGCCCAGATTTAAGGCAAGTATTGCAGCCTGGTTTGGTTTTTATGTTTTACCCTGCCTGGGGTTCATACTGAAAAAAAACAAAACAAAAAAACAAAAAACAAAACAAAAAACAAAGCACAAAACTTTCAGCAGCTGTGTTCAGAGCTACTAACACCATTTTCTTCCACAGACTAAAAATTAATGACAGGGCAAAATCACAAGTCAATTCCCTCAGTGTCTCTCCAAACAGACTGCCATACTGCAAACTGGCTCCTGAGTACTTAATAAAGTGTAAGAACATTTTTAAGTGCAGGATTCATTTGCACCATTTAGAAATGATTGACTAACACTTGCAAAAATGCATATGTGTTATTAATGATTCTGTCCATCACATGCCTAGAGATTCTTTAAACCTTCAGAAGTAGTTTGCAACTTTATATATTCATTTTGTTCTTTTTCCCCTCCTTTTACTGGCAGCTCTGACCCAGTGTATCAGTATCTATTAACCCTTTTTATCCATTTGCCTTCCGGAAGATCAGTATCTATTAACCCCTTTTATCCATTTGCCTTCCGGAAGATTTACCCCCCGTCATGATCAGGCCATTTTTTGCTATACGGCGCTGCTCTACTTTAACTGACAATTGCGCGGTCATGCAACCCTGTATACAAATGAAATTTATATCATATTTTTCACACAAATAGAGTCTTGTTTTGATGGTATTTGACCACCGCTGGGTAATTAAATTGTTTGCACTATAAAACAAGAAAGACCGAAATATTGAGAAAAAATTTTTTTATTTGTTGGTATAAAACATATCCCATAAAAACAATGCTAGATCTTAGGTAAAAGAAAAATCCCAATAAGTCTACAATAATTGGATTGCATGAAAATGGTAGCGCCTACAAAAGACAGTATACTGTATATACTGGAATTTTTTTTTTTTTTTTTTAAATACTAGTAATGGCAGCGATCAGCAACTTATAGCGTGACTGTGATAGTACAGCAGGCATTCTGACACTAACTGACACTGATATGACCAGTGACGCTAATACAGTGATCAGTGCTAATAAAATGCACTGACACTTGGCAGGAATGGGTTAACATCTGTGGCAATGAAAGGGTTAAAGGTGTACTTAACTAAGTGCAATGTGTTGACTGAATGCTGCTTTACTAGATGATGTGCCAGTTTTTGTGTCCTTGCAAAGCAGAAAGACAAAAACTGTCATCCCCGCTGACATCGGAAAGATCTGTGTTTTTTACCAACACAGATCTCTCTCCTGTCACCAGCTCTGATGATTGACGGGTCCTGGCCGTGAATCACTGGCCGGGACCCGCTGATCAGGGACCCAATGACAGCATGGGTAGGCGAGCGCGTGCTCCCTACCTAGAAAAGCAAAGTCACGTATTTACACAGCCAGCCTGCACTGTAGCAGTAAAGCTACAGTACGCAGTTGGCAACTGGTTTTATAGTAAAACTATAGAGAAAATTTTTTTTTTTCATTTTGGATAGCGCAAGTGAGGGTTATAACCCGTCAGGTTTTTTTTTTCCACCATCTGTGTCCAATTGCAGAGATTTCCCTTCACTTCCTGACCCACAGCTAAACAGAAAGTGAGAAGAAAGCCCTGCAAATTAAAGGGAATCCATTTGGGCCCCACAGGTCACCAGGATTTGTGCCCTCATTGGAAGATTTCCCCTCTCTTACTTTTCTGGAGTCAACCCCAAATTTTGGATTTTTTTTTTTACGTTCAATAAAAATGGTAAACAGGACAAATAGAGAGGGTGAATGGGGGTGTAACGGAACCGGATCCCAACTGCGCTAGGGTATTTCCGTTAGATACATGGACACCAACGCTGACCATACAAGACGAGACAGCACCAGACTTGTATTAAAACAGGAAATGGACTGCTTTATTTTAACAGATACAAGATATAAACATTCAAAGGTAACAACCCACCTCCCTGCATAAGGACACAGGGCGAGGCAAACCAAAACTAGTAACAAGAGACACACAGCAGACACCCCCCACCAAGCCCCCCCCAGAGATCTCACCTCCAGCACACACACTGGGTTTTCCCAGTGAGATCCTACCTAAAGCACACACATTGGGTTTTCCCAGAGAGATCCCACCTCCAGCATACATATTGGGTTTTCCCAGTGAGATCGCACCTCCAGCATACATATTGGGTTTTTCCAGTAAGATACCACCTCCAGCACACACATTGGGTTTTCCCAGTGAGATCCCACCTCTAGCGTACATATTGGGTTTTCCCAGTGAGACCCCACCTCCAGCACACACATTGGGTTTTCCCAGTGAGATCCCACCTCTAGCGTACATATTGGGTTTTCCCAGTGAGACCCCACCTCCAGCACACACATTGGGTTTTCCTAGTGAGATCCCACCTCCAGCACACACATTGGGTTTTCCTAGTGAGATCCCACCTCCAGCACACACATTAGGTTTTACCAGTGAGATCCCACCTCCAGTACACACACTGGGTTTTCCAGGGAGATCCTACCTAAAGCACAAACACTGAGTTTTTCCAGTGAGATCCCACATCCCCCCCCCCCCCCACCCCAATTGCGTGGTCAAGCAATATTGTACCCATATGAAATTTTTATCATTCTTTTCACACAAATAGAGCTTTCTT